TTGGCTTGCTTGGGGAGAAATATTCAAGATATTTCTTATTATTTGTCTGAATCAAATATCCTGATTATGTTACATAATGCTTGTCGCTTTTGTGGGTGTCATTTGAGAACTATGATATTGCATGTAGAATCAAGGCCCTTAAGGGACGACGTCAAAAGATCGATGTCGGATAAAAAACTTAGTTCCTTTAGTTTGGGGGTGGGGGTGGGGGGTTTGACCTCAAAAAGTTTCCATCCGACAAAAACGATTTTATTTTTTAATGAAGTCAAAAAAATTTTGGAGTATTTGTAGTTCGTTTTTTTTTTATCCAATCATGGACAGAAATAACCGAAAAGGGAAAAAACAGAAAAACTGTTTGGTTCGAGTGTAAATCTTTGCGTCAAATGAGGTGCATTTGTAAAATCTTTTTACACCCACCCAACTGCTATGCAATACTACTGTCCGATTATCAATTTGTATTTAATGGTGAATGTAGTCTGACGCCATGACCAATATTTATTAATTAAGTTTCAGTGGGGGGGGGTAGGGGGGTTTGGAAAAAAACTAAAGAAATTAAGTTTTTTATCAGACATCGATCTTTTGACGTCGTCCCTAATTCAATGTGTAATCATACAGATTTCAACTGCAAAATTAATAGTAAATTGGTATGATGATGTACAACATGCACATAGTCATCTACTGTACATACCATATCAGTACCGGGAGAATCCGACATCTAAGGGTTCATACTAAACCCCACAGCAAAGTACAGTACTAATACAGAGCACTTGTACACCTGGGTTTAGGTAAAACTCAACTTGCTGAGCTTTATTTTTTTTTTAGCAGAGTTCAACCGTGGTTTGAAAATTGTGCAATCTAATACAGACAGATTGCATTTGACATTGGTCAGGATAACAAGATATAACTGATTAGTCGAGAACTATGGTTTATGTTTACACATATGTCTGAAGATATGAGTTCAATCGCGGTACAAACTTTCCAAGGGTCAAACATGTGCCGGTACGGTTAATGATTGTGGATTTTAGACCAGAAAGAATAATGCTCAGTCAGAGAGAAAGCGCACGTCTATAATATATAATAGGTGAAATGCCAACGTAATGATACTCACTTGCAAATCCGTTGAGCCTTTGCTGTGATAGAAGTCGAACAGCGCTAAAAACCCGAACGGACGCCATGTTGACCGGCTGCTGCAAAAGAGTGCACGTCGCTGAGCTGTCGACTGGTACCGACCTGAGATCACGCAAATTCACGCAAAATCTCGTTACATAAAAATTTATTTTATACACATTTCTGTTCAAGTAATATCATATTTTCTTTTTCGTATCACTCATGTAATCATAATTTTTCACTTAAGTCCATAAGAATACTTATATATATTGCAAAACGTGTATATATTGCAAAGTTTCCGTGAAATCTCGTTTCGGTGTGCAATGCATTCTGGGCGTGTCCTTACTTTGACCCTGGATCCAACATGGCGCTCTTCGGAACCGGCAAGTTTCTCTCTGCGTTACCCATTTCTCAAATGTTGCAAGAATAAGTGAGTAGTTTATCTATTATATTCCACGGTATAGATAGTGATCATTACAGTCACCGACCACTAGATATTTTGGCATACACTTGCAATAACTTGAACAGATGGTTTTGTGTGCATGTCCTGACGTCACACTTGAAATAGGACTAGAAAAAATCATGGCGTAGCTCGTTTACTACAATTGCACATGTAATGTAATGTTGAAGAAAGAGAACAACGTCGTCTTTGCTGCCACAACTATGTAGTAATGTTTGCTGCTTTTCCTATTTTGATCCGGCCATTTTGTTCATAAGACTAGACAACTTAATTACTGTGTGTACAATGTTTGCAAACAAATATTTTACATGTGATTCACACATGATGGTCAATTACTGTGATGATTGTGTCATGAGCACACAAGTGTTTAAATATTACTAATAAAGTACCGGCCTTGAAACTGCAGTTGTGTACAAATTCCCTTATATACTTGTACTTATACTGTACTAAGTTGCGATTTGGGGGGGCCAAAGCGTATCTGCATTTTGTAGTGTTATCAAATAACTCAGATCACTTCCAGGATAATGGTGAATATCCAGATTTATTATCAGTAACTAACAAATGTTACAACGTCGTCTGCGTATCTCCACGAAGTACCCCGAGTTAACCCGAAACACCCCGAGGCTATAAATAGCT